CACACACACGCGGGAAATGTGTCCCCACTGGCTAACCTCTCACCCCAGCCCTCCTGGACTGCAGCTAGGAGGGAGAGAGCCACGGGCACTTCTTCCCATCGATCTTGCTCTCACACCCACCGCTGATGGGTGCAAGCTCCTACCACTTGGCCCAGATGCCTCCCCCGTGGGCAAGCACAGGGCCTCCCTGGGCGGCTCCCTCCCTATCACTCTGTAGCATGTTATCACCCTCCCCAGCACCTCTGAGCCCCTGCTGTGCACCAGGGTCTACGCTGGACGGGGAAACCAAGCAAAAGAGGGCATCCATAGGGACCCTTTCTCCTCTTCCCACGTGACCCTGGCTCCCCTCCCACCCCTTTGACGGTGCCCCTTCTTTCACGCCCAGCTCCTTCCCCATCACCACAGCCATCAGATCCTTCTCCCTTGACTCCTGGGGTCCCTCACCCCAGCACATCAAGCAAGGCTGCCTTTCCTAAAGAGCCCCTCTGATTATGTCACTCCCTGGCTCAAAAACCTTCAGTGGCTCTCACCTTCTACAAACCAGATCTAAACATTTCACCTTGACATTGAAGGCCTTCCGTGAGTTGACCCAACCTACCACCCCCCCTTCACATCCCCGCACGATTCCAACTCTTCAGCCAGACTGATCAACGCAGCGATTTCTTAAAAATTCCGTGAACCCACTGACCTCCTGGACTTTGCCAAGGTATTTTCCTCTGCCCAAAACTTTCACTGGCGCTGCTGAAACCTTCCCAATCCTGAAGACCCACCCAAAACTCCACCTCCTCCATGAAAGTTCCCAGTAATACTTTCTTCATTTATCTCTTATCAGAGTCACTGGTGTCCCTTCCCAGACCGTAAACAACTAAGGATGGGGGCAATGTGTCATCCTTCATCATTCGTCATGTGAGCTGGAGGGGTAGTGGGGAAGGCTTTCCAGTATTTGCTTACTAAGTTCTGTTTGAGACCAACGTCTTCTCCTCCGCCATGGGCTCCACCTACTGACCCTCTTCCTCCCACCACACCACACTCTAATCTTATGCCGTTCACATGCTTGGACAGGGGAGTCTGTGGCCCCAAGTCGATCCAAACCCAACCAGGACTTGGGAGCCCAGTGTCTCGCTGCTTCTAAGCACCCTCCCCTCCCCTAGACACAGACACTGTCTCCTCCATGCAGTGCAGCCTTCAATCAGCCTCCGTCCCATACTACCTTCTAGCTGGTTCCAAAGTGTAGGGCTCATCTCCCCAGGACATTCAGGGAGTCGACATGCAGCACCCCCAGTCTCCTTCGGTGCCCAGCCCTGATCAAACAGTTTATGGGACGCCTGGGTGGCTCAGTCGGTTAAGCATCTGACTCTTTGATTTCAGCTCAGGTCATGATCTCGAGGTTTGTGAGTTTGAGCCCCGCTTTGGGCTCCGCCTAACAGTGCGGAGCCTGCTTGGGATTCTCCCTCTCTGTCCCTCCCCTGCTCTCTCTCAAAAGGAATAAAATAAACTTCAAAAAAATCTTAAAAAAAAAAAAAAAAAGCAACAGGTAACACACTAACCCTCACTCTCACCCCAAGCCAAGTGTGCAATGGAACAGCTGGATTCCAAACACTAGAGCAATAGACTCATGAAATCTCATCTGGCACCAAGCCCTGGATGTGAGTTATCTTCCCCAGCAGGAGCATGGTGGGGGTGGGGAAGCCCTCATTGTCAGCAACTCAAAATGAGGGCAGAGCCCAGGTCTGGCTAGGTCACCTCTGTATCTCCTAGCTCCATCTAACATATAGTAGGTGCTCAGTAAACATTTTGGGGTTTATTGAACTGGACAACCACCAACCTCAAGCACTATTGCAGAAAACTCAGCCACTCTTTGGTCCAGATGACACACTCCCCAAACCTGAAATGGACAAAGTGATGCGGATGGCAGGTGGCAATTTCTGGCTCTCACAAGGTCAGGAGGGGCTGCAGCCGGGATCCGGCCCTCCAAAACCAGGCTCGTTCCTCGGCAGGAAGCCAGCCCATCATCACCTGCCCATCTGCATCAGGGCAGCTGTCATACAGTGAGGCCTCGCTGGGTGCCTGGTGCCTTGCTAAACACTGTGTACACATTATTCTATTTAGTCTTTGCTGCTGCTGTTGGGTACTGTCGTTACTCACATTTTACAGATGAGGAAACTGAAGCTTGGAGGAGAATGGAATCCTAGCCAGTTTGGTCCCAGAGCCTAAGATCTTGACCACTGAACTAGACTGCCCAGCTACCACAGCCGTGGCACAGATCTACTACCGCCAGGAACAGAAATCCAAGAACTAACCTTGAGCATGCAGCAGCAAGAGCCCTGGGCCGGGGGCTTGACTCTGGGCCCACAGTTTGGTGGGGCTTTCCCTTCTTTTCCCCACTCACCCTGGTAAGAACTTGTCCCCTGGTTTCCAGCCAGGGCCTCCCAGGCCAGCTCACCTGGAAATGCCCCAGGAGGGTGACAAAAGCCCCACCGAGGTTCTGGTCTGAAGCTTACTGGGATCTCAGCGCTGGGGGGAAGGGGAGACTGAAATTTCCCTGATTTAGGCTGCTTCCCAGGGCTTGTGGGCTCAAGGGCCATGCGAAGAACTCGTGTGATCTTCAAAGTAATTCGCTTAACGCTCCAGGAGAGTTCACCTGGCTCCGTGCTGCTGGGCAGGGAGAGAAACTGCAGTTGGGCAGCGTTGTGAACACCCTTCGCCGAACTGCAGGCTGCTCTCACCTGCCAGCCCGCACCTTCCAGGGTTTTTGTGAGAAAGGGCAACAAGGAGCACCTGGTTCAACCTCCTCGGTTTACTGAGCCCGTTAAGTCCCGACCCGGCTGCGGGGTCGGGCCCGGGGCCACACTGCGGGTACGTGGCGGAGCTGGAGTCCTGGGGGGTCAGGACTTGGAGACTTTATGCTCCCTTTCACCCACCAGCTGCCTCCGTAGCCCTATCTGTCACTTGTTCCGAGAAAGCTGCCCGAGCGGGCTCTGGAAGTGGGAACGAAAACTAACTTTGCTATTGTTTGTCCGGCCGGCCTCCCCCCTGCCCCTTCTCACCGGCTGGCTTTGCTTTCTGCTCGGCGCTGCAAGCCGCAAGCCCCTCGCCGTCCGACTGCGCAGCCCTGGACTCAGTCTCTCTTCGGTCCCCCTCCCGGCGGCCGTCGGGGATGGCTGCGGCGGGGCCAGGCCCCGCCCTCCTAGAGGGCACGCCCCCTGCCCTGCTCCCGGGCCCCACGGGAATGTAGTCGGCCCCGGGCCAGATCCGGCTCCGCCCACCAGGCCTCCGGTGCTGCCGCCCAGCCCCGCCCTGCGGGGGGTGGGCCCGTCTCTTGCCCCGCCCCTCCCCGTTATGGCCTCCCTAATTCAGCCCTGTAGCTCCGCCCCCCGGGCCCGCCTCCTCGACCCTGTCCTCTGCGCCCGGAGGAGGCCTGCCTCCCAACCTTGAAAGGCGAGCGCGGGAGCCCGGCTGGTGGGAAGGCCCAACACAGCGCTGCCTAACCGTCCCGCCCCTCCTCGGCCTTCCTCAGCTGTCCCCGCCCCCGCCCCCCCCCCCCCCAGACCCTACCGCCACCCCGCCTGAGTCACGATCTCCTCTCGGCCTACCCCAGCCCCCTTGGGCGAGGCGCCCCCTCCCCAGGCACGCCTTTCCCCGCCTCAGCGCCTCCCTAATCCTGTTCTGCCCTGCCAACCTCAACCTGGGGCGGGCCGGCCTCGGGCCCCCAAGCTGGCATTCCAGGGCGGGTGCGTCCGGGTGCGACCGGGGACGGCGTGGGAGCGGTTTGCGTTCCAAGTCCGAGCCTTTATCAGCAGGCGACCTGGGCCCAGGCACTTTTTGAAAATACTAACAACTACTACCGACTGGACTCTCGCCAGGGGCCGGGCTCTATGCCAAGCCCTGTTAAAAGGACTGGCCCTTAAATTCTCACAACCCTCTGCGATGGTAGCTTGTTGCTCCATTTTACCGACGGACGACCTGAGGTTTAGAGAAAGGAAGTCGTGGCCTCCGAGTCTCGCGCTGGAGGTGAGCAGGATCCGGCTGCAAGCCCTGAATCACAAGCCTGATACTGCCCCAGCTTGCCTGGACTGGCCCCTGGAGAAGTGGCCTTGGCCAGCCAGCTGTTGGGGCTGTGTTCAGCAGGCTGCCTGAGGTGAGGGAGGAGGCGTGGGTTGATGAGGCGGGTAGCAGGAGGGGCTGCTGGCCTGAGCCCCAGAAGCTGGTTTTCTCCCTTAAGAAGTGACTCAGAATTAAGAAGGGCTGCAAAGATCTCCAGATGGCTGTGGTGCCCTGACCTGCATCCCAGCCCTCTGCACTCCCAGACCCCAGGGGCCAGCCTCGGGCAGGTTTCCTACTTATGACCGGGACCATTCACCTTGCAGCTGACAAAGCTCTTTAACTCCCATTATCTCATTGGCATCTCACAAGGACGCCATTATGGGGAAGGTATGATTATGCCGGGTTTTGCATGGGTGGAGTTAGGGTGGGGAGCTGGATCCCAGCCCAGCACGGTGGTTCCCAAAGCATGGTCCTTAGACCTCCAGCAATAGCAGTGGTGTCTGGGAATTTGTTAGCCATGCGTGTTTGGGAGCCCCATCCCAGGCCTACTGAATGAGAAACTCTGGGAGAGGAGCCTAGCAGTTTGTTTTAACAAGGCCTCCAGGTGATTTTGAATCACAAGCAAGTTGGAGAATCACTGTTGGGCACACTGGTGAAGAAATTAGGGTGCTCTGAGAGTCACAAAGGCCTGGTAGCGTCCTGGGAGCCTTGCGACCCAAGGCAAGGTAAGGTCCTGAACTCTGGGAGAAACGTGTACAAGGGGAATAATGATAATAATACCAGTCTTGAGGGTGGCTGCTGGGGATTAAACGTGCTGGCGTTCACGAAATGTTTGCCCACTCTTGGACACCGTGCATGCTCAGTAAATGTTCTCTTTCCAGTAAAAAGTCTCCTTTATAGAATCTCCACACCAAGTCAAGGGATTGGGGCGAAAGAATCTTTAAGGCCAACAGGGTCCCACTTTGTTGTCTTTGCCACAAAGGGACACCATCATTCCTGCGAGGGGCCAACAGCTTAACAGGTTCCCAGATGATGTCGACACAGCTGGTCCAGGGCTCACATCTTCAGAACCACTGTGCTTTTCTGTCTTGCACTGGGCTCCTGGCCAACCCTTGAAAATGGGCGTGAAACACCCTCCTCTTCCACCCTGTTCCCAGTCCCCTCCCCTGAAGCTGGGGGTGCTTGTGATGGTGATTGGCAGTTGGCAAAACAGCTGGGATCACATCAGCCCCTCCCTCGCCTCCAGACAGACGTTCAATCACCGGAGGCCCATCTGCTACCCCTTTGGGTCTGTCACTCCAGATTAGAGACGGGGGCAGCTGTGGCAACATGGAGGCAGGCAGATTTTCGAATCTCTGCCATACCCCCTACCCCCCTCTGCAGCCCCATAGATGAGGGCCTTCCTATAGGAGCTCAGAGCCTATTTGTCCTGTTAAGTGCCCTAAATGCTAAAAAATGCTTGAATTAAATGCTAAAGTAAATGTTTTGTTAAATGCTAAAAATATCAACATGTTAATGCTAAAAATCGAGACCCACCTAGCTTACATCTAAACATGTAACAGACTATAAAATAAAATATGTTTATTCTCCTACCTTGAGAACTATTCTTCATACTGACCAAGAAGGCCACGTTCAAGTTTAGAATTCTTGGACTCCTTAGAATTCTCTGCAGGAACATGGCAGCATGGGGCGGGTTTAGTCCTGACCCCTCAACCCTCAGCCCATCCACTCGGATTCTCTTCCCGGCCCCATGTCTGTCCTGTGCATACAAGTAGCCTAGGACCCAGGGATGTAAACACCTCAGCCCACATGCCCAAATTCAGCCACCACTTAGTCGCCCCTCCAGGAGTGCACATGGGGGCAAGTTGTACCCTCAGAAGGATGGGCCTTGGGAAGTGTTGGACCATTTAGACAGAGATTTCTAGGGTTTTTGGATACCTGAAGCATGATTTTGAAAGGCTGCGGGGTATAGGTTTTGAGTAGACACGGGTGGCCCTGTTGCCTGGGTCTGTGAGTGGCCCTGCTGTTTGTCCTTGCCTCCGTAGCACTTAGCACGCTGCCTGGTACATATTAGAAGCGTAAGGAATAGTCATTAAGGAGAGGTGTGTCTGAATTATTTACTAAAATATCAAATTGGCTTGGTTCTTCCCCTGTTTCCTCTCTTCCGGCAGGAGTCAGACTTTGTCATGATTTACCCTGGGCATCTTGCAAAGGCAGCCTCTAGGGAGAGACGACTTCCTTCTTTTGTGAAATTCTTCGGTCCATTCCAGAGGTGAAGCCACGAGTTTGGGAGGTGGGAACAGGGGCAGGAAGAACTACTCTAGAAAGACAAGAGGAGGTATCAAATGGCCAACGTGGAGGTAGATGGTGGCTTGGCAAGACCTTCAAAGGGTATGTCTATGGGGTTCCCAGCCTCTCAGAAGATTCCCCCACCCCAGAGTTGGCACAGGAGCTTCAGAGGAGGAGGCCTGAAGGTCCTCATGGTCATTTATTTAGCCCCCAAATCTGCGATTCGGGGTGGGTTCACTGGGGGGAAGGCTTGTCTCTGTTTTGTGCACTATCAGCTGGTTCAGTTGGAAGTGGAGGACCCTTAACAAGATGGCGCACTCACATGGCTAGCCAGTTGGTGCTAGGTGCTAGCTGGAAACTCAGCTGGAGCTGTGGACCAAGGCCTCAGTTCCTCTCCATGAGGCCCCTCTGCAGGCTGCTGGGGCTTCCTCACTGCAAGACAGCTGGGTTTCAAGAGCAAACAGAGAACAAGGTAGAAGCACGTGGCATTTTATGACCTAGCCTCGGAAGTCGTGTAGCATCACTTCCTTTGTATTCTATCAGTGCACAAAGACACCATGGTTCAAGGGAATGAGAGACATAGCCTCCCTCTGTCGATGAGGGGGTGGCAAAGTTCTAGAAGAGATTGCAGAACGGAAGATACCGTCACAGCCATCTTTGGAAAATGCAACCTGCACCAAGTGGGTCCTCAGAACAAGTGGAGAAAAATTTCCTCTGCTGGGAACTGAGTGTCTGACTTAGCCGATTTAAAAGGAAAAGGTATATGATGTTCCTTGCACAGCCCTCCGTGCAATCTGTGCACAAGAATGAGACTAGGAAGTCCGGTGGACAAGGAGTCTGGTGCCCTTGGGTTATTTAGGATTTTCCTTCTTCAGAGAGTCCTCAGAATAGAGTTAAGACCTCTCTCCTCACCACCTCTACTGTTTCTTTGAAGCTGTACGTTTCAATACTACTCATGTGATCCGCTTCATAATGACCCCTATGAGCTACATACTATCTATTGTGATGCCCATTTCCAAGATGTGCAAATGGAGGCCCTGAGAAGGTAAGTAATTTGCCCAAGCTCATACAACTAGTCAGTGATGGAAGAAAGAGAAATACCAGTTTGTAGCCAACCCAGTTTTCTGTTGCAGAAACGGTAGGCCCAGGTAATCCAGATTCTGAGCACCCAACACTGAGCCACTCAGTCTTATCCCTAAAAGCCCACAGTGGGTTAACAAGCACCACCACCCCCCACATCCCACGCCCCAGGGACTTGCAGGGCCCCTGCTTCCTGCCTGAGAAACCGACCCATGGATTCCTTCCTGTCTCAGTCATTTGACCAAAATCCTTTAGACCCCTACTACACCTCAGGGTGTGAGGGTTAATGCCACCCAGCCCTGATGACTTTTGGCCCAGGGGAAGCTGACAGATAAACCAGTGGGGTGATGCGTGGTACTGTCACAACACCGATAGCAAGGGGACAGCAGTAATAGCAACCTTCATTTTTTTTTTTTTTAACAGCCTTCACTTTAAAAGTAAGCTATTACCATGGGCCAGACATGTATGTATGTATGTATGTATTTATTTATTATTTTTTAATGTTTATTTATTTTTGAGACAGAGCATGAACGGGGGAGGGTCAGAGAGAGAGGGAGACACAGAATCTGAAACAGGCTCCAGGCTCTGAGCTGTCAGCACAGAGCCCCACACAGGGCTTGAACTCACGGACCGGGAGATCATGACCTGAGCCGAAGTCGGACGGTTAACCGACTGAGCCACCCAGGCGCCCCTGGGCCAGACATTTAAAGAATGACCTTGAATATGTTTAACTCACTTGATGACTAGCATTTGGGAAGCACTTCGCATATTATAGAGCTTGTT